AACGGTAACCCACTGCTGCCCTTCCCAGGGCCACAGGGCAGGCAGAATGTGAAAACCAGACTTCTTGTTAAAAATCAAGATGTCAGCACTGCTAATGTTCAGCCCAAGGCGGTAAACTTTGTCCCACCTGGTGCTACCATGCAGCATCAAGGCCAGCACGTGAGACCGCTGAAGCACCCGCGACAACCGCCACACAAGGTCCTCCAGGTCAAGCCCATGGACATGGGAGAGGCCCCCCACTCTCCACAGGCAGCCAGAGGGACGTCCCTCCAGGGCCGGCCTCAGGACAGCAAGCCAGGGGTGAAGAGGACTGTCATGCACAGAGCCAACACTGGAGGTGGCGGAGACGGGCCGCATGTCAGCTCCAAAGTCAGGGTCATTAAGTTGTCCGCAGGGGTAAGTTGACAAATTTTATGCACTTCTTTGGCAATTTGTTTGCTTAGAGGCTTTAGTCTCCACAACAGAATTGAACCTGGTGTCATGTAGATTAGCCAAACCTCAAGATTGGTATGGGGACTGTCATTCAAATTCTGCTTCTGTCTGGACCCATATTGTCTCAGCTGTCTTGAGTCTAGTGAACAACCATTGTGACATCCTGCAGCTACACATTTCTCAGTTTTAGCTTCTTTCATAAATAACTCAACACTGTAATAAACAAATATCTCATAATCCAACAAACTTGAACTTCAAGTTTGTCATAGAAATAAAATTTCCTATACACATGATAGTTGTTTATAGCTGTGGGGTCAGTGAGCATGTGTGGTCAGGGGGAATGGACCCACTTTCAAGCAGCATGGACTATTAAACCTGTTCTCAAGACCCCTTTCCCTGTTGAATTTTAAAAAGAAATTCTACTTTGAAAACCTGTGTCATCTTACCATCTCAATTCAAAAGTGGAGCACTCCTTTATGGTCAACTTCAGTGAGACTGAGGAAGTGCAATTTGCACTATAGTCAGGATAAGTTCGGCACTCTAAAATAGCAAGTTCCTGCTCATAGCCTTCATGAAGAGGGTGCTGGATACTTGCTTTCTTCCCGTTGTATGATCTTTGTTAAGGTACATAATTCATATCTGTTGTCTACAGTGAATTCTAAAGCAAATGCCATTGTCCATGTTTGCTATGCTCTGTAGCAATTATACCTGTTGTGTTTGGGGAACAGGAACCCTGTCAGCATGAGTTTTTAGAATAAACCAACTCTAGTGATTTTGACTAAAGGCTCAAGATTTGCACACCAGAAAAGAAAAACCTGTAACTCCACCCATAGAGGAAAGCAGTGCCCCAAGGAATGTGAAGTACCATGTGGTTTGCTTGTCAGTTAGCTGAGTGCTTGGAGACAGAAAACAGAATTTCTCCCACGTGATATAAGGACACTTCTGTAGAACAATGCTGAGTAAAATTACATATGTAGACTACTCATATGTATCTATAATTCTTGTGTATCTGAATATTTTCCTCATGTTTTTGTGATTCAGATGCTGATTAGCAGATGATCTGTCATATTTAACATACAAAGCTGCTGTGTTTGGTGGCATAGCAGATGCTCATGTCTTTGTACAGTGGCCCTTTAGCTTTGGGTCTTACTTAACACTTGAGGCATTAGTCTGACTCATTGAGTTAAAAGCTCAAGAGAAGATGGCCACTGGGAATAGAACCTTCCCCACTGGTGAGAAGAGCTGTGTACACCCTCTGCCCCCTGAAGGTTAGCAGTAGAAGGTATTTACCTTCAAAGAGCAGCATTTGAACTAGAAAATGTACTTCCTTTCAAAGAAAAACTGTACTTAAAATCATCTGTCTGGCCAGGTGTTGGTGCCGCACGCCTTTAATCCTAGCACTTGGGAGGCAGAGGCAGGCGGATCTCTGTGAGTTCGAGGCCAGCCTGGTCTCCAGAGCGAGTGCCAGGATAGCCTCCAAAGCTACACAGAGAAACCCTGTCTTGAAAAACCAAAACCAAACAAAAAAAATCATCTGCTTAAATATAAAACCTAAATCATATTTAATATGAAATTTATATGTGATCTTACTCATATCATACTGCCTACTTCTACAACAAAGAGGAAAAATAGTCTTTGGAATTTTCCACTTAAGTAGCCACCAGTCAGGGGCTTTGGGACAGGTTTTAGCCTGTCTTTTTGACTCTTAAGTGCTGGCAAGCATTTCCAACAGCTCTTCTAATTCTCTGTTGGCAACTTTGACGAACCTGATGAGTCTCTGATGGGGTTCACTTTTATCTTGGGTAAATAGTGTTTCCTAATGCGCCTCCCCCCCAGAATAGAACTATTTTTAAGAGAACACACAATTGTGGGTTAGTTGCAAAATGAGTCTAATTATGACAGTGCAAAAAGGTGAGTAGCCATGTGTCCTAGCATCAAGTGCCATCGCATTTATTTGACTTTTATCATTGTCCTTAGTTGCTAGTAGGTTTCAATCACAGTTGTCCTCTCCCCTGCAGTAGCATCATGCTGGGGCTCAGGCCTGTGCTTATGCTCTGCCTCGAAGAATCTTGTTAGGAGTCTGCACAGAGCCAGGCATCGCAGTTGGGCTCCCTGGGAGTGTGGGGAGGACAAGCTTGTAACATGGCATCAGTCTTAGGGTTTCTAGTGTTGTGAAGAGACACCTTGACCACAGTAACCTTTACAAAGGAAAACATTTACTTGTGGCTCACTTAGAATTCAGAGGTTTAGTCCATACCCTCATGGTGGGAAGCAAGGCAACATTCATGGTGATAAAGAAGGAGCTGAGAATTTTTACATTTTTTTTTTAAGATTTTTATTTATTTATTATGTATACAACATTCTGTTTCCGTGTATATCTGCACACCAGAAGAGGGCACCAGATCTCATAATGGATGGCTGCGAGCCACCCTGTGGTTGCTGGGAATTGAACTCGGGGCCTCTAGAAGAGCAGTCGGTGCTCTTAACCTCTGAGCCATCTCTCCAGCCCGAATTTTTACATCTTGATTCAGGTAACAGGAAGTGGTCTGAGACACAGGGTGTGATGGCTTGAGCATATGTGAGACCTCAAAGCCCACCTCCACGATAACAGATTTCCTCTGACAAGGCCATTCTTTCTCCAACAAAGCCACACCTCCTAATAGTGCCACTTCCTTTGGGTGCCATTTTCTTTCAAACACCACAGCATCTGTGTGGAATGTTAGCTGTATGTTTGTTTTCCAGTTCACTGTTTGAATTATGACATTTTATTTTTGGTTGAATTCCATTTTTCTGGGAGCTATTGGCTTCTAATAGGGTAAAAGTATAATATATAACTTACAAAGCTTCTTAAGGAAACCCTAGTGTGTTTCCTTTTTGATTCCTTTTTTCTTTTCTTTTCTTTTTTTTTTTTTTCCTTTTTTGAGACAGTTTTTTACTGTTTCCCAGGGTAAACTCAAAGTTTTTATTCTCCTGTCTCAGCCTCATCCATTTTTGGATTGCAGGCATGTACCACATATCCTGTTGGGAAGATAATATCTATATTCATACATACATAATTTATATGTGAATACATATTTAGTGCATATATTAAATTATTTTGAGGTTAATATAATTATATCATTTTTCCCTTCCCTTTGCTCCCTCCAAACCTTCCCTTATAGCAACTCCACCTTGGCTGTCTTTCAGATTCATGGCCTTTTTTCTTCAGTGTTTTTCAACTTCCTTAATGCTGTAACCCTTAGTATAGTTCTGCATGTTGTGGTGAGCCCGCCCCCCCCCCCCCCCAAAGAAACCATAAAGTTATTGCTACTTCCTGTTAGTTTGCTAATGTTATGAATCATAATGTATCTGTGTTTTTTGGCAGTCTTAGGCAACCTCCATGAGAAAGTCATTTAATCTCCCTAGGGGTCAGGACCACAGGTTGAGAACCACCGCTTTAGTTGCATGTAATCCTAAATAATCTGCTCAGCTTGTATAACGCTACTTGTATTTATTTAGGGCTGACCTTGGAGAAAGTTTTATTATAGGGCAGAAGTGAGCACAGGCTTCCTTAGAGCTACCTCCTTTACTGTTGTCTAACCCAGAATATATGTAACTGAATCTAAAGTGTCCAGTAATCTCTTGCTTCTGGTGGTCATTCTCTAGCCGGGATACGGGCTTCCTGCTCAAGAACTTATTTTTGTGCTTGGCTATAGCCAGCTGTTCTTATGAAACCTCTTACCAGATTGGAATGTCTCAACTTCTTTGGGCTTCTGGGAGTGAGTTACGACTTGTGAGGCTACTGATTCATAGTGGGTATCTCTTGTCTTCCATAGCTCGTTTAAAAATCTAATCGTTTATCATCATGTTTTGTTTTGTCTTTTGAGACAGTCTCATATAACCCTGAACTTGCTATGTAGTTTGAATTCCTGATGTTCTTGTCTGCATCACCAGATGTTAGAATTAAAGGGTGATGTTACCATACCTGGCTTTCTTAGGATTTTGTTTCTAAACTGTATTTTGTGAAAGATGGAGAGCCTGAGTCTAAGACAGTAGGTTTTTTTAGGCTTGTCTTTTCTTTAATTACATTACCTTTAAGGCCTGTTTTCCTTTGTCTTAAGGTAATTTCTAGTTGTATGTTGGTCATCTGTATTGAAACTATTTGGGTCCTCTTTATTAAAACTGTTGCATTGTAGTATCAGGAAACATTCCTCAAGATTTCATAAGAATGATTTCTTGATATTGTTTCTTGTGTAGTTGTGATGGCTGTGTCACTGCTCAATTATTTCTGGAGGAGAATGGTGCATTTTGTACAGGGCTTGTCATTGGCATTTATCTGACATTGGCTGCTCTGAAACTCATTTTCGTAGCACACAGAGCTTGAGGCTCTCTTGTAGGGTCTCAAGCTTACTTCTTTTGTGGCCATGTGACACACACAGAAGCTTTCTAGTTTTTCCTGCAGAAAACCCATGTTTGGGTAGTTGTCAGTCTAGCTGCTTCTGTGATACAAAACAATCTTTTTTGTTTTTTTTTTTTCTCTTCCCTCTGAATCTCAATTTCCTATGTATAAATGGGCTTAATCGGTTGCTGGGAGGAGTTCTAGAAGAAAACTGATGGCAGATGGAGGCATTCCTGAGACCCCAAAGGGGTATTTGCAGTGGCTACTGTCTGTCCGGGGCTGATCATGTGCCACAAACCGTGAGGCAGGCAGAATTGCGTTTTTGTTTCACAGGGAACAAACTGAGTCTCAGGGAGGTCATGTGACCCACCTGATGCCACATAACAAAGCAGTAGGGCCAGACATCTAGCCAGGTTTAATTCTGAGTCTTGCCCTATTTAATGATAAAAGCTAAAGTGAAAGGTATAGAAAGTTTATTTACTGTGAACTACTGGAGTCATCAATCATTCTTTCTGATGAAGCACAGAAACAAACAATGAAGTGTGTGCCTGGGAAAAAGCCCTGCAGCCTCATCTGGATCATGGGA